CTCTGGCTTCGGGATGGGCTTAAAGGACCAGAAGGAGATAAGGTTCAGAACCAGACGAAAATAGCGGTACAGACTGCGTGGGAACGAGAAAGGCACAGTTAGCCATGCATTCACGGAGACCCGAATGCAACAAATTTGGGTATGTAGTGGTATGGTGGTGGATCTGCGAAGGGAAATTCGTATACTAACAAAAGGGCGATAAACGCTCGCATGAAAGGGAATGCCATGATACAAGGAAGCTCAAGACCACGGTCTTCTTCTCCGGTCAAAGGAACCAGAATCCTGAGGAGCTTTACTTTTCCTCCTTGTCTGCCCGTCTTTTTTTTTCTTTTTTTTTCTGCTATGCCTTGTCCTATTGTCGAACTTGAGGGAAGAGGAGCTGTACGCAAAGTCCACAGAGAAACGGAAGGCAGCACAGAATTCTCTCCTGGTGACAACCCGGCTGTTCCTTAGGTATAGCTACTATGAAGCTAATTGGCCGTGGAAGAAACGGAGACAACCTTGGGAACGGAGTGTACGACCTTTAGGGATAGCCAGAGAAGGAAGATCCTAGGGAGTAGGGGAAGAAAGAGAAAATGGGAATAGAGAGGAAGCGACTTCAAGATCTGGGAGTCAAGTAAAACGAGAGAGTTGAATAAACGAATGTCAGAGTGCTGAAGGCTCCTCGGTATTAAGTTAAAAGAGGCCTGGAAGGAGAAAACTTCCGGGATGGATTGGCATTTGAGAGAAAGCAAATATCGACAGAGAAGCAGCATTGGGGACTTTTATTTGCTGCAGATGGAGCCAGTAGATAGGCAGGGAAGGCACATGTTCAAGGCCAGCAACGGACAATCCTTCATCGATCCAATCCCTAAAAAGGGAAAGGGGGGTGGAAAGTTACTACTAAGCTCCAGTTCCTTTGTCATTTTGCGTGTCATGCAGGCGTGTATTTTTGCCTCGTGCGTCAGAGACCCTGGATCTAGATGGACTTGAGAGAGGAATATTGAGAGTGGAGAAAGGATTGGCGGCGGCCCATGCAGCTACTGTGCACTGTGCAGTGACAAGGGCCAGCGAGTGGAGACCGTCGGTGGTGTGCGAATTTATCTAGCCCCTAAGCAATATGACGATATTTCGGTTTTCTTTGGTTTTTTTTCTTTTTGTTTTTTTGTTTTTTTTTTTTTTTTTTTAAGAGAAGGGAGGGGGGAGAAGTTAGTAAGTGGACAGGTTTTTTAGCAGTGTAGACTAGTTAGCGGTAGTGGATTGTCTCCGAAATACTCGGGCTCGGAGCAAGCTGGGAGCGGGGAGCGGACCTCATCCCACACCCCCCTTCTCACCATCCCATTCCTACATAATACATATCGTAGGTCTTGTTCATTATTATTATTATGATTATTGTTATTCTGATTATTGTTATTATGATCCCTACAGCCTTGTCCACATTTGGCGCTTTGCTTAAGACACATGGGATAACCCCGGAGATTCGTCGTCTCCGTTTGAAAGATCCTTGCAATGAATTATTACCATGTTGCCAGGTGGTTTTTGTAAATAATCTACTACATTTATGTATATTATACACTGTGCCTAGAACTTACCCTCTTTCAATAGAACAAAAGGATAAATTCTGTAAGGTATTGACATACCTTATGGCAAGTGATGCCGATGAATCTGTAGATTTAAATCACTGAAAAGGTGGAATTTCTTTTATTCATCCACAAGATCGTTTAATTATATTTTAGCGGGGATTGTGGGAGCGAAATCATCATCATCATCATTATTGATATTATTATTAGCTTGGGTGGAGAGCTCCTAACGCTGCCCCGTTGGTATTTATTTTATCAGTCCACAGTTGTCATTACCTCGACATACATGCTACATATTACTCTATATATACTACATAGGAATCTAATTAAATAGATTTCATAATGAATTATAAAAACAATAACCCCGTAATAGTAGGATTATAATAAGATAATAAAATATATCAAGCTGATAAGAAAGATGGGGAGTTCGCCATGCAAGCTCTATTCCATTAACGGCAGAGCATACTGGGAGCTAAGGCATAGTGGTAAAAATCCCACCCTATCAGACTCTCCAGGAACCTCCGATCAGGATAAGGATAATATACCGGCAACGAAACAGGGATGAGAAAAATAATGAGAAGTCCGGGCGAGAGGGGCGAAATGAAAAATCATGTGCACCATCCCTGTTGAATCATCCGTCTAGACCTCATGATTCTCTTCCTTTTCTTTTCTAGGCCGTCTGTCTTGACCTTTTAACTCTACGTGGTTTTGTGTCTTTGGTGTGTCTGTCTCGGCTATAAGTTATAATACATGAACCCATACCATAGCAGAAAGAGTAATTCTTTATTCCATTTATATGACTGGCTGATCCGTCCATTTTTTATAATATGGATAAATAGTACTAGGGCGTCTTCTATAGGAGACATTTTTCCTTCCTTAGTTCCTTTTCTTTTCCTTTCTTTCCTCGTTGGGTCTATTGTACATTGACGGAGCAAAAATACGATGGACGAACCTTGTGAAACTACCTCCTTCGTACTTGTCGACACTAAGAAAGTTTGCCTAGATTGGTTCATTCCCGGTGTCACCGGGTTCTTGCCCCAAACAATCATTACGAACACACGATCATCCTAGCTAGGTAGGTTAATGATAAATAGAGAACAGAATTAGTGGGTATATAAAATATTTGCCAAGGCTTGTATGACACTGAAAGACTTCGGTTCGACCAGGAGAAGGAAAGGACAGACAACGATGTAACAGTTATTTGTGGAGTCGTTTCCTCTATATATTGCAGTCTCCTGGGTTACTCCCAAACAGTGCGTAAGCAGACAAAGCCATTGTTAGTTAATTACATGGGATGCATACTTATATTATGTTCATACATTATGTGCAGGAATGGGTTGGCTAAGGCCTCGAGCCAAAAACGTTCAGTGTCACGGTGATCCTAGCGGCGATCTTCCAACCACCTCTCCTTGCGCCGCTTGCGGCCTCATGCAGCTCACAACCAGTCAGCCACTAAGCACTCATGAATCACGAAGCTTTGGTGGGGAAAAACAGCTCAGGTGGTGCCATAGGCTGGGGGTAATACGAAGTCGCGATCAATCTCTGGGATGTTATCAACGCTGATCGAATGAGACATGCAGTATATTATTATATTTCGTATATTTACTTTATGTCATGACACCGTTAGTTATGCGCTTTCGCAACAGATGAGACAGTCTGTAAGCATAAAAAGATTGTGATGATGGGCGACAGCAGGCCTATTGTAGTCCTTACCACTAGAAGAACCTTATGATAGTGACCGCATGCCATTTTTGATGAGTGCCGGTAAGGTTCTGTACCCAAGGTAGGTTTCCCTGGCTTTGGGCTTATGAGGAAGCTTGTCATTCCGTCCGATACAAATGGTATCTTTGTTCTTTCATGATAGATAAATATAGAATCACAGTGTCTCCGATTGAGTAACATCTACTGATTTGTTGTCTATGCGGAAGAAGCGTTACAGTCATATGGACAGACTTGCAATACAGGTAACAAAGTACCTAGCTATCTTTCTTTCTCCTACGCACAGGCCTCAGACCAACCAGCAAGGCGGCATAAGTCTAGCCACCCGAAATGGAATCATCATGCATCTGCAGTGCTCGATATGACGGCATTACCTCGCCCTGTTGAGAACCAAGCCACACACGACGTGCATGGCTTCTTAGCTAATAATCTGCACAAGACTCGATCTGATTAACCTTGATATCTGGCCAGGCTGAACTATTTCCACAGAACAATTAGAAGGCTGATTTGTCTCGGCAGCTGGCATACGGGAGTGGTTGCTTACATGGATGCCAATAGCCTTAGGGCTGCTAAGTAGTTCTAAGTACCTAGGTAGTACCTACGTAGAGGTACCTGGTAAAGAGGAGGAATGCCGCCACCCATGCACAGCGCTGATTTAATCATCAGGTAAGCATATTGAAAAGGATCGCCCATGGATTCAATTCCCTGCTCCCCATACTCCGTGCTATCCTGCATTGTTCTAATCCTCCAGAGACTATGGGTCTGTAGTTCTAGTCTTTCTTCTACTCACACACCATGCTGAATCCTATGCCAATACTCATTAACCACCCGCCAGTCTTCGTTAACACAAGCAACGAGGTATGTCTCGGGCCGGTGTAGATAGAAGGTACAGTTCAAGTACTTTCAGTATAGGCCATATGTAGGCTGTCCACCATATTCAGTGGTGGCTGCAGAAGGTAATTAAACCTCATGCAACTTACTTGAATAGGAAGTGTGCTTTACTGCGTTCAGTCAGGTCGGCCATTGTCTACTAGTACACTACGGAGCAAGTGTCGGAGGCTAGCAGACATCTGCTCCGTAAGTTCCTGGCCAGGGGTGGGCAGCAAGTAATCGCTTCCCCATACTCTGCGGGCTTGAGTCTATTTGACTAATTTAGAGACGGCCGCACGAGCCAATACCTACTATGGACGTGTCATATGCATGGGAAGGTGACTATGATCTCATACTCTCGAGCTGAGGAAACTGGTGTACAAAACCATCGATCAGGGCCGTCTGCGCAAAGGTTAATCTGCAGTGAGAAGCAAGTTACTCGCAAAGTACCTGCACAGAGGCTAAGGCAATAGGATCACTACCCCGATAGGTAGTACCCCTGTAAGGCGTTTGTCCTGTTCGAGGCCTTTTGTCCAAAGTACTAAGACTAAAAATAAACAAACCCATTAAGAACTTGTTTTAGTACTAATATATCATACCCGCTCCCTAACTAGGCAGTTAGCTTGTTCTGCCGTCTAGGATTCTTGCAAGGTAAATTATTAACTTCATCCGGAGCTAGTTCGGTTTAGGCAACAAGCCTTTCGCGCGGGCGAGCAGTTTTTTTTTTTTTTTTACGGGAACCGCCTCAAGCTCCCTCGGTCTGTACAGAAATGGAGTTTATAGGCATTGTGGTGTCCCCCTTTTTTTCCCTCCTTCGGTTGCTTTTTTTTAATTTACAAAATGGACTGCCTTTTCTAAGCATTTTGATATTGATATGGATTGGGAAAGACGACGAATCTACTATTGATTATGGGTTATCTTGCCGTTCTTCACGGGTGGGCGAAACAGACGCGTATCTCGGCTGCACGGACTTGTATTTGGACTACACCGAGCTCTCCACCCACACCCGGGAATGACCGAGGATCCATCGTTGAGGCACTTGCCGAAAGTACCAGGTACTGCGAAGCTACCACTCCGGAGTCGAGCACAAACCTACCGGCAGCAAATATGCGTCTAATCTCTGAATTGTCCCCTGGCGAAGCCACTCCATTTGTCGGGTTTGGCCGCGTACTCCCAGGAAAGTCTTACTGCAGATAGCCTGGAGAGACTATATGGTGGGAATTGTGGCTGAGAAAACTCCGATATTCATTTATTTGATTATTTACCTTTGGCTTTAAGGCTAGCTAGTTGACTATAGTTCCGGTGGAGAATTAGGACATACTGTATTACGCCGCGTCTCGGCTCCGATCCCAAGCTATTTGATCAAGGAGAAAATCTACTGTCAATGCGAGAGTAGTGTCGAGTAGTCTACCAAACTTCCCATCATGTCACAATGGGATCTCGGCTCCATCGTCTAATGCCCACTTCTTGGTCCAAATTAGCTCTAGTTATTGAAGGATGTATGACCTCGGACGGCAACAGTCTCGGTCTCTGCTAGCCGACATGATATTCTAACAATCGCTACACATTTTACGACTTAGGCCGAAGGGCTCCATACGCGCTATCCGGAGATGACATGCAGTTTATGTTGTCGATCAGGACGCCAGTCTTTTCTTTTTCTCGTTGTCTGTTGGTCAATTCATGTATTTATTTCACCTCATTACTTATCTTACTTGGTTATATTATGTGGTTTCTCTTTTGTCTTATTAACCTTTCATCTATCTGTTATTTTTCTGTCATTCTCTAAACGGAGTAGTACTTGAGTTATCAGGCCAACAAGCGAGAATAACATCGTCGTCATCATCATTGAGACGAATCCCGGGGTCTTCTAATCTCGGGCTCTGGACGAGTGAACCCGCATCCGGGACGGCTCGTGAACAGTAACCCAATTAGTGATGAATATTCCGATCACCAAGCGATAATAAAATCAAGTTATCGGATGAGCAAATATGATAATTATTCCGTCTATGGGGGCTGCACATGTGGCAGGATCGGACAGTGCACAAGCGCAAACTACTGATGATCGAACTACTTCCTGTACCTACTGCTTTCAATACGGGATGACGAGTAATTATTTTAGTCAAATCTCAATGACTAGAGACCACGTAGCCATATATGACGGTTACATATCAATGTAGATGTAGGTAGATACCTTAGTAGGTAATTTAGTAAGGAGAAGTGAGTGCTATTTAGCCCGGCGGGGATTGCGCTGGCAAGTCCAACCCAAGTAACCGTCCTAACTAGGAGTGCTCTCTGAACTCCGAGGCCCACGACTACTGCCTACTAAGGTAGGTACTTGGTACTTTGTCCATCCCACTAGTAGCAGGCGGTAAATCGTTCCCAGGTCCTTAGCTTAGATCACCGGTTAGTCCGAGCTCGTTGACTTACCGTACATGGTAAGGTGAGGCATACGGAGAGGTACGGGCTACGGAGTACGTACCTTGGTACCTCCAGGAACCTAGAAAATAGTTCGAACCAATCAATCAGGCCGGCCGACAACTTTCCCACTAACGCCCTGGAGTACGTGTCTGGGCCACATTAATACTGAGCTATAGGATTTAGTCAGGGAACCTGACAGTGATAATGGAGACCATAGGACAGAGTGCACAATGTGTACTGTAGATAGGTAGAAAATGCGTGCTGCATATTGTACTTGTTGCTACAGACGACTTCTTCCGCGCTAGAGACAATTAGCCTAGGAGTGGTAATATGCCGGGTGCTGGACTGCAACACATGAAGTAACAAGATCATCCTTTGATGCTGTCTGAGCCCTACCGTCTTAGTCATGTCATTTTATTAATTGTATTACCACGTTGTTTAGTTTTAATCTGCGTAGATAATTCTCCGCGTAGCATTTCATTTATTTATTCAGAGTAACGGCCATCAAAAGAAATATACCCTGTATTCATTAGTCCTTCCACCACAGTACATAGATTAACAATATCAGCTTTACAAAATGTACAATAATAAAGGACAGATGATACTTCCATAATTGGTTGTGATCGGATGTGGATTGGAAATCTGTTATGGGGTCGTGTTAATGTCTATTGATGGCGCTTGTGGGGTTACCAGAGATTACGAATTATGGACTCCATTTCTCCGTGTACCTATAGTGCAGTGGCCGGTGGGCTACTTGAGAGTTGTTATATTCTCAGCGATGCGCATTTCATGGGATGAACGAGGTGGAGTATAATAGCCCGCGTGGGTAAGGTGATTGGCCCTACTAACAATAGTACCTCAAGCACAACGCCCATTAAGGTAGGTAGTCAGCACGCCCTGGGAATTTAGTACCAGAAAGACCAGACCAGCCCGCTTGAGACGTTCGGCTTAGAAAAACTTGTTGTCAGCACGACCTAGGCGATCTAGCTAGTGACATCGCCTACTGCATCTCATATGCAGCTAAGCAAGCCATCCCTCCAACCATATCAGGCCCGTGTTCCCACAGTCCCATTTTCTCTTCGAGCTAGTTCCCCCCCTCTGTCTGCCGGGGGGTAACTCAAAAAAGTATGTCTGTTTGAGGTAATAACCAAATGAGCACTGTTCAAAAGGGCAGAGTTGTTGCGCCCCGGCTGACTTCCGGACTCTGTCCAAATCCCGCTTGGGGTCAATCATTACTGATGCGAGCACTATATCCATTCCCCCCCTTAGTATCTCGATAATTTCAGAAAGAAGCGTAATGATAGATTGCACCCGTTGGAGTTATGATAGACCTTGTCCATTCCATGGGTCGAGACCTCGAACGACCCGAGTGGGGAAATAACAGAGCACGACAGAGCAGGCATGATAAACACTATGATAACACTTTCCGTGCCTCGTGACCTGCTTCGTAATCTTTTTACATGAGTATCCCATCCACAATGATGAGTTGAACACCCCCTCAGATACCACCTCTCTTCTCATGTGCCTCTCCTGGACGTTAGTCAGAAGAAGAAAAAGGAGGGTCAAGACATAGGCATGCACTGTTCAGATTTATCGCACGGCCACGAACGCGGCATATGTTCCATTTCAGGTCTAGGCCTCATATAAGTGTATATAAATAAGGCCTCAAGCCTCAACACAGGGAACAGTAAACCACGTACAATACGACCTACAGCCATGTTTCAGATAGCACCTTTTACCCCGGCATTCATTTATAACCTAGACATGGTGGCATTTGTATAATATAAATATATATATAAATATATATATATATATGTACATGTATATGTATGTCTCGCGTGGTATTTCTAAGACATTAAGAGCCATGGCCACTTTTGGACAGCCACCATCGGTCCGTTGGCTGAGAACGCCGCGTGTCCCGCGCCAATGTCAGATATGGCGAAACCTACATCTTTCTGTCCAGGTACATAATGGCCCGCCTGAATCGCATCGGAAAATGTACATACAGGACGGCAAAATTATAGAGCATGCCTTGGCCGAGGTGCATCTCTCTCAGCCTGCTTGTACATTCCGGTCGACTCACAGCATAAGCACATGAGTTTGAGGCGGAAATGCAACCCACACTTCCCCCCGAATGCACTAATGTATATGTACTTACAGGGAAAATCCCGGTCGGTCTCAAGCTCCGTTTTCTAGAAGGTCATTATTCCCTAGACCGTTCCTCTAAAGTGGCAAAGTCGGTTAACCCGAGCTGAGCCTCCCGTTTCTCCTTATTTCATTTATCTCCCCTGCCCCCGGCGAACACACAAGTACTAGTGGATGACACCTGGAATACCCCATTTGGCATTAGCATCTACTCCTAGTACACTCTGAAACAAAACATACATCCAAGAGCTTGTCTTCATTGGCTTGGGTTTCGGGGAGGAACCGTTGCACGCCGGTGCGAGTTCGTTCGGCCGTACACGGTGATTTGCAACGTGACATTTTCCATAGCACTTGGCATGAACCCCATCTCCGCGAATGGCAGGGAAGTGAAACACGGTGCCTAGGCCGAGGCCTTGCCTATTAGGGCTTCCATAGCCATCGTGCATCGTCAAACGAGACTTCAAAGTCGACTCCGCCGAATAACCCAATGGCACCGTACAGGTCAAAGTCCCCTTCAAGTCCCGTGATACCGCCGGACTCCTGGTCGACTTCTTCGTAAAGGTCCCAACCACCTGATTTCTGACCATTTCGAGTGAGGAACACTTGGGTTTTGAGCTTGTTGGTGGTGCTCTCTACTGGTAGACTGGAATATTCTGGAGGGTCCGGGGGACTAAAGGTCATCCCCAGGCCAATGGTCTCGCCTATGGCAAATTCGCGAGTGAATTCTCGGCCACCCCAAGAGTCGTTGACAAAGCGACATCCATCGTCGGAGAAGACGCCGAGGCTGCCTCTTTCCCAGCCAGGGGATCGCCACGTGGGGTACGGGCGTGCTAAGAACCCAACCGACATCCCACTTGTATCTGTGTTTCCAAATCCGGGGCCTGCTCTGAGTCCAGTCAACTTAACTTCAAAGTATATCGTCTTGCTTTTCCCTGTCACCAACGGCGAGTCTTCGCATGCAAAGTAAAGGGGTAGGTGCGTTGATATCATGCAGTCACCGCTTCCATCTCTTGTCGATCCGGTCCACCGCCGTTTGGAGACGGAGATGGTCCCATGAAATTGCGCTGGTGGCACGGGACGGAGATCGTGTCTTTGTACGCAATCATAGACGGGAGCCGATGGCCGAACAGGCCTGTATAACGGGGTCTTGTCACAGAATTCATGGGCAAGGTCGGCGTCGCCGGTGCTAGCATTGCCGCTGTTAGAGAACAGAAAGCCTGTAATCGGTGGTGGAGGGAAAGTCGTCGTATCAGGCACAGCTTCTTGCCAGTTGTGGTATGGTGGAGGCTCCGACTCCGTCCCCACAGCGTGTTCATAATCCGGGGGGGCTTGATAGCTCGGCGGTCTTGAATTAGAGCTGTTGGTGTTGTTTGCCATTGTTGATAATCTCCTAGATCAAAATTATACTCATTGGTATTTTCACTGCTTGTACTCCGTGTATAAGGTGCTGATAGGAATCGGCCTCAGAACGAGCGCGCCGGATGCGGATGCTTTTGCCAAGGATGGCAGTGCGGAGAGTTGGGCCAGAACTTAGTAATGTAGAAAACAGTTTGCCAAAGAACTTCTACTGCTCAAACTTTATCAATATATATTGTATATTTTCAATCGCACCTAGCCCTGGACATGGGTATTGTTCAGTGATGATCCTGTCGTTCCAGGATCATTCCATCTGAGTTGATACTGTACTAAATGCCTAACGACTCTTGGCTTATGATAGCCCGAAGGAAGGTAATGAGACTTGTATCTTGAGTATACTGATGATACTCCCCGGTATTAAATTGTTAGCTGGTTATCGGGTAATATCCTGATTTTCGCATACATGTATACAAGTGAAGTGGCAAAAGACCTGAGAGAGGCGATTGTCTTGAATCTGTTTGTACGAAGCTGCGGGCAGTGTTTGTAAATCAAACATTAGATGCGAGAGAACGGACTATTGAACTATATATATCACATTTCTTATCCATTTTGGGTATTTGAACAGTCCACAACCAAAAATTTCCGTCTAAAACCCTAGATAGATGCATACTCTTTTCTACGTGACTTATGTTTTCACCAAAAAAAAAAGGAAGAAAATCCAATCAATCAAGTGGTTGGCCACATACTTACTTACTATTCATTAGTTGTCCTGGATTTTTTTACATTATCCAATAAACAAGAAAAAGAGCAAAGGGATATCCTTGATACAATGATAAATATTCCAATGAAGCCCAACCCGAGGCGGAAGTTTTATCATCCACTGCAGTGACCTGGCAGTCTCAGACATGCAGGTGATTTGTATGTACCTTCTCCATAAATACCACAGTAGCAGTCACACCCTAGTGTTCTTTTGAATTTTCTGTTTCTTTTCTTTGTCTTCTTCTCTGCACAGCATTACAAATTGTGCTATTTTTGGCACTGTTTGTTTTGATATGATATTCACGTGAGATTATCACTTTTATAACTCTCGAAAAGTGAGATGTCTCTATTTCTGTTACACATCTAGGTATGATGACAAGTCGATCAGTATCTGCCTAAGCCACGGAGATTTTTTTACTGCTAGAAAGGCTACCATTACTATGAACGGTATTGCATTGAACTCAAAGGGTCTTCCAAACATCAATGAGTAACAATCTTCTTTGTTTCAAACACTTGTAACTCCCATCTCGCCTGCGATACGTTGCCAATTGGGGTCGTGACTCGCCACCATTTGGAAGCACACTTCACCTCCAGTACCAAATGGACCAGCAAAGCCAGGCAACAATATCTCGCAGGTCGTCCCTTTCACGTCATTTACAGCGAGTTTTCCACAAAGACATACCAGGATATGTAAGTACACAACACCCAGGCTTCCCATTTAGAACGCTCAATTATGTTTTGCTTGAGCATGCGGGCCTAATGATACTCTGAAGCAAAGACAGGGCGATGGCCCTTTGTTTTCTGAAAAATCTATATTAAATGTAGACGGCCAGTATGGTCAGCAACGAATAGATGGACGAACAGAGGAAGGCGCCAGCGCCCAATACCTCCCCAACCACTCATCTTTCGCAAACACCAATGAGCGCGATCCCCAAACAGTCAATTCACCAAGACCTGAGACCTCAAATCGAAACAGCTCGCGCTCTAGGCGTTTTTCAATACCTTCTGTTTTCCAAAAAGCCATTGAGCGGACAGAGCCTTCGTCTTACTCAAATGAGCCGGGAAGCTTGACATCAGATGCCTACAATTCTCAAAATGGCAACAACACATTCACGCAGAAGAATGAAAGGCGGGCAACAAGACGTCTGGAAGCAGAAAGACTAGAACTCGAGAAGCGGTTAACGAGACTCGAGGATGCGCAGCTAGCCCGGGGCCGTAGCCTCACGAAAGGGGAAACTCGCCGTCTGACGAAAAAGCAGCCGATACGCAGCTCGAGCAGAGAGTCAAGCGTTAGCACCGATGACAACCGGTTTTCTCGGAGGATCTCTTCGGTGTTTTCGAGCTCAAGGCATACATCGCGTTCCAGATCAAGTTCTGTAAATCATAAAGACGGAGCCTCTGTGGGACACGCGCCTGAAGTCCCCAGACTCCCAGGCGAAGAAGAAAAAGGCCACCTGAAACAGACGACTGCAAACTTTTCCCTACCTCTGTATCTCCCTGAGCGACTTGGTGAAACTATAACGAGAACTTTCGTTACACAGGACAGTGCATCTCTCCCAAACCGTGAGAAGCTGGCCGAGTTACAAAAAGTACATCACTCAGACACCATATCGCCGAGTCACGAGGAAGTGGGGGTTAGAAAATCTACCAGGGAGACAAAAGACACCACTAGATATACAAATGGAAGCCAGATGAGGAGAGACGACAATCAAAGGAGGCCGGCTGATCTTGACCGCAGCTGCTTTGCAGCGTCTCTTTACCTTGAACAGGGAAACTCGAAACCTGATCGATTTTATGACAACCACCGGCAATCATTATCCTCGCAGAATCTGAAGATTCCTGGAACAAGCCAAGCTCCTTCGGCCACTGCAGGAGCCAAACCACTTACCCAGGATGCGCGCAATCCCGTGGCTCAGCACAAACCAGATACATCCAGACAAAGGGCTATCTCACACAAGCCCGTTGCAAGCCCGCGTTCTCATGGACAACCCCGAATTATCAGAAAATCACCTCTTACAAGAGAGCATGGAGCTGACACGTCTTCGATTGAAAGAAAACAGAAGGCTGTTACTTCGTTGATACAAAACGGCGACAAAACAAAACAAGGAGATCCAACTCATACGAGCACGGCACCCAATTCCAATACGGCATCTCTTTTGCCCAGTTCGCTTTTGCCCGCTTCGCGCACGCTCCATACCAACAATGAAAAAAGTGAAAAAGATGCAGGCACCTGTCTCGATGCCAACGGGCGCCTGGTGAACTATTCGCTGGGTCATGCAAATAATACGCAAGTGTTTTCGGACATTACTCCTTCACAATCTCGCAGTACAGGGCTTCCTCAGAAGTCCAAAGACTATCCAAATGGAACGACAAACTCTGGAAAGAATGTCCGATCTCCATATGACCCGTTCAGGACCACTGATAGAAAGATGGAAAATAAAATGCCACAGGAACGGCAGAGTCAACCGACTCATGAAGATTTAAGCAGGGATTTTGAGAGAACCGAGAGAAGGATTTCTACAACTCCAGTCACCGCTGATCAAGACGCACAAGAGCAAGCCTCACCAACAAGTTTCGTCAGTTGCAGATCAGGCCGACGGAGTGGTTCACCTCCAACGCCCTTGTACCCGAACACATTATCTGTTGGCCATAACATCAGTGGTCCTTCTACTAAGCAACCTGGATATGGTCCCAGCGAAAGGGATCATTTATTTAAAAGTGTTTCTACCAATGGCATTGACATTGGAACAGAAGCTGCGACCCTCGGCGCCCCAGAAAGTGAAACACAAAAGCCAATTCAAGCCAAAGAACGATTCCAAGCCCGTCTAGTCGAGAAGGTATTCATTATTTGCTGCTCTTGTGAGTCCTGGCATAGCATACCACCTGGCGGAAACGTGAAGCCCCCGGTCTCTAGTGATGTTGCTGGGTCTAAGAGCCATGGGGCCTCAAATATGCAAGCCACTGCCGGGACGAATCATTTTTGGAAGCCTATAATGGGCCCGAGCACCAAAACCCCGGCAAACCAACCAAGTAACGACAAGAAACACACAGCAAGTGGCCCCATGTCCAATGCAGTGCAATATTGCTGGTGTGGCCACCCAATCAGCAATTTATGCTGTGACGGCTGGACTACTCTGGTCCACATGCGTCATCGACATCGTTGGCTCTAGTTGATTCTTGTTATTGTAGAGGGCAGCTCAAAGTGACTCCTGTAGGACACTATAACTGGTCCACTTATGCTTGTTTTTCCTCCTTTCTCACGAGGTATGACTTGCATCCCTCACTCGAGACAAGACTTTATGTGATTATTATGGACTGTTGCATGTTTCGGTGCTTTAAAATGTTTCCATCATTGGGTATTTTTTTCTGTTTCATGTCACTGCTCAAAGAATAGAGGATAATCAATTTCTTTGACATACAAACACCTGCGCATTCGTATGCCGTTTCACTAACCATGTGCCAGTCTGGCCAACTGTTTTGCGGGTCCGCATTGGATAACTGAAACAGTCGAATTTTCCTGTTCTTTCGAGGGCAGGTCAGACAACACGTTGACCGAAATTCGGGTATAAGTATAATGAACTAAATCATCTTGAAACTTCAGTCAAGCAAAGGTATATCAGAAAGAGACCAGGGAGGGGCGTTGTGGTGGTGCGGCTACCATCCGATTGCCGCGCGGGATTACGCAACTTAGTCCGTCCCTGTCTCCTTATCTACTACTGGGACAGAAACCTTTAGCTTTATCTATCTTCCCCATGTTCTTCACAATCCCCTCTCGAAACCCACACCATGGTCCGTAGAAGAGGAGCATCAAATGTCTCGGCGGCATCTTCTCTTCCTGATGGAAACCAGGTATTAACATTCACCCCATATACTTCATGATACAACATTAACCCTCTGGGTGTTGATGCGAAAACTGCCCACATGTGACCGAGGCCGAGTCTAATGCCTGTTAGGAGTTGGAGAGCATGTATGATTATCTGGCCAAGGTGATTCTCCTTGGGCCAAGTGGTGCTGGAAAGTGAGTTTGAATAATTGTCAGTACCTTTGTTATTAGGGGCCACTGCTAACTGACGATGTTCATAGGTCCTGTGTGCTACATCGATTCGTGAAGAATGAATGTACGACTCTGAACTCTAGACAGACCCGTTCACATCTCAATCCTCTTTCTATACCAAACCCCTTATAATCCTGGGTCGCCGGCTGGCTCACTCATACAATCTACAGGGAGGGTGCTGTCATCACCAACGATAGGAGTCGAGTTCGCCTCGAGGATTATAAAACTGGGGACAGGTCCTCGGCGGACAAGAATCAAATTACAGCTTTGGGATACCGCTGGCACAGAGAGATTTCGATCCGTCTCCCGGTCCTACTACCGTGGGGCTGCGGGGGCCATCCTTGTCTATGATATCTCGTCGCATGCATCATTCGAAACTCTCCCTACTTTCTTGATGGATGCTCGCGCTCTCGCCTCTCCCAATCTTACTGTTCTACTGGCTGGAAACAAGACAGATCTTTGTGCAGATTTCCTGCCGCATATGGATCCCAGCGACGATGGATTGAAGCCGTCGACGCCTTCCAGCACTTGCAGCAAACAGCCCTCTTTCACACTTGAGTCGGGAAGTGGCTCAATACGATCTTTCAACCATTTAGGACCGGGGACAAGAATGACAGCGACGTCTGCACCTCGCGGTCGCGAGGTCAGTCCCGAAGAAACTTCTCGCTGGGCTGCTAAATCAAATATCCCTGCTTCGGTAGAGATCTCTGCCCTCGCTGGTGAGGGTATAGATGAATTATTCCATCGGCTGGCCCGGATCATACTTACGAAAATCGAATTGGGTGACATAGATCCTGATGATCCTCAGAGCGGGATTCAATACGGCGACGCGGCTCTTTATGGCCACACCACTAGTGACGGCTCTAGCATCCGGAGCCAAATGAGCATGGAAGACGAAATAATCCATTTGCACCACAAGACTCCCAGGAGAGGTGCAATGAACTGGCGAAGCGGTGTGAGAGAGTGGGAGGATGTTTTCCGTCCAAGTGGGCCCCGCCATGGGAAAGACGGAGGGTGTTGCTAATCTTTGGCTCTGCTTTTCACCCACTGAAACGCAAGCCATTTCATGCCCTCCTCGGGCCTTGAGCTCTGCTCTACTTTCTCTCTCTCCCTTCTTGCGGCCTTTTTAACTCAGGCGCCGCCTTATCTGAGACATGCCTTTATGCAAGTGCAACAGAGGTGTTGATATTCTTGTTTCCTATTGAATTCGATACCCAGAGAATTGCTTTCATGTATCAATTGACATTAATATGACGCACTAAATATACGATCCGCGAACATTTTCCCCACCTGTGCTATCTTCCTATGTATCTTTTTACTCAATTCCGGCAATAAGAGTCTTGATGCCTTTCCCAGCCTTGACTTCCTTAAAGGCTTGCTCGGCCTCCTGGAATTTCACCGTCCCGGTGATCAACTCCTTCACGTTCACCTTGCCGGAAGAGACCAGATCAACTGCAAGCTTGTAGTCCCCGCTTCCATACCGGAAACTGCCCTTGACATTCAACTCCTTAGTACAAGCCGCCATGATGGGGAATGTGATCTCGCTGCGACCCATACCGCCCTGGACGTACGTGCCGCCAGGACGGAGGACGTGGATGCCAGTGTGAACAGAAGGCTCGGCGCCCGACGCATCGATGACAACATCAGCACCCTGGCCCAGCCCATTCGTCTCGATCATCCGCGCCGCATTCTCGATCGCTGGGGCCTTGGCAGGCTCAAAGACGGACGTCGCAGCATACTTCTTCGCAAACTCCAGTCTCGGCTTCTGAATATCGACCGCAACGACCTTGGAAGCGCCAAACGCCCTCGCCACCGCACAGCACAGAAGTCCCACGGGCCCGGCCCCGAAGACCACCACCGATTGACCCGGCGTGACGCTCGCCTGGCGGACAATGTGGACCGCAACGCCGAGCGGCTCCATGAGCGCCCCCTCGGACAACGTCATATTCTCGGGCAACTTGTAGCAGAAGTCCTCGGGGAGGACGTAGTACCGCGCGAGCGTGCCATCGTAGGGCGGGGTCGCCGCGAACGCCATGCTCTCGCATAGGTTGTACTTTCCGCGCTTGCAGGGCTCACATCGACGACAGCAGACGCCGGGCTCCATCGCGACCTGGTCGCCGACCTTAAGGCTCTTGACGGCGGAGCCGACCTTGCTGACGACACCTGAGGATTCGTGGCCCAGCACCATGGGGTCCTTTACGACGAACTGTCCGATCGAGCCATGTTCCCAGTAGTGGACCTAATATGCGATGATCGAGAGAAGGATTAGCGGAGGGGTTTTTTTTATTTTTATTTTTATTTTTATTTTTATTTTATTTTTTTTTTTGGATGGGGTGTCGGGCGGTACGCACGTCGCTGCCACAGATACCTGTGAACTTGACGTCGATCAGAACATCATGGGCGTCTTTCAACTCTGGGATCGGTCGGTCCTCAAACTTGACTTGGTGAATGCCCTCAAGGACGAAGGACAGATTCTGGTTATGCAATCGTGGTCAGCTTCGGTCGTGCACGGGGAAACTGCGTCTGCGCATTACCTGGCTCGTTGACTTGGTCGCACTCATCTTTGCGTATCTTTTGCTGCTGTTACAAGAAGTGTTATATCCTCGATGCAACCCTTTGATAGCCCGAGTGGAAGGAAAGTAGAAGAGAGGGTACAAGGCAGAATTTATTTTCAATGCACTAGAGGGAGTAAGATACTGTGGGGTTCTACAGAACATATAGCTGTTGAATGGAAAAAGACCAGGAAAGCTGATCGGGTAGATAGGTAAAGGGTTGATCCAGGCCCAAAGAGCGAAACCTGCAACAGCTTGTAATACTGAGAGGACTCCCCCACCCCCACCTCCGTTTTCCTTTTCCTTTCCTTTCTTTTCCTTTTTCTTGTCTTTTCTCTTGTTTTTTTCCTGTGTCTTGTTGCCTTTCTTGTTGATATCATTCTTTGTATAAGAAAGAAAAAAAAAGCTCTCCAACGACCACAGAAAAAAGGAAAAAGAAACACATCCATCCGGTATACATGCTGAGCCCCTCCCCGCTCCACTACGTAATAGTACCTACCGACTCCATCGTAGCAGCACTCAGGCCGTGCAGTCTGTTATTGGCCGCGACCAACCCCAGCTCCGGCTTAAAGCAACTCGATTTAACCGGCGACCGACGATCGAGATGCTGATTTAGCCGTGATGTTGTCAGTTCCCCACTGCCCGGTTGATGTCACCACTTGACCTGTTATTCAAGCACTGATATATATATACGGTAATAGTACAATATCTTGAAGACTCGCCATGAAAATTACCCGAACTCGGCACTCTCTACTCAGTGATTATTATTTCATATATCTATCAATTTCACTGTTGAGACATTCTATGTCCAGGGTATCCGGATAAACAGTGCTGTTCGGGTCCAACAAGTCGGGATCAATACAATTAGTTACTTGTACCACGAAGCTTGGTACGGGTCTATTCTTGGTTCAGTCCCAGGGTTTCACGCGGCCGGCATTTCGTTCGATGCAGTCGACCTTGGTGGTTGTCGCTCGTCTCCTCTCTGTACGGAGGACTCGATGTCCACCAACAACATGTATCGGGTTGAACAAACGTAAAGATAGAAGGCCGAAGAACGGCCTATCCAACTCGCATCAAATCATTTACTAGTTATATCGGTGTCCTCTACACGATGTACGGCCCTCCTCGGATCTAGGAGGATAACCGAACTCGGAGAAGCTCCAGACCGCCCGTAGCTTCATCCGCGATTCTGCCGCCACTATATCCCCACTCAATTACCTCAAGACAAACCTCCAACCCTTCCGTCAAGTTGCAGCCAACTCTCCTAGACTTTCAAAATACATTTATTTTGACACTCGCGACCTCTTTTCGCCATGATCAGGGCTGGTGCGCTCCCATTGAGGCGCTCTCTGCGTGCTCTTGAATCCAAATCTAACTTTGCGCCTGTCATCTCTCACCTCCCCACGTCTCGGCCGAGATACCTATCGGCTTCTACCAGGCGCAATGTAGATGAAAAGAACGCCTCCTTCAAGAATCAACTATATGAAAGTACAAATCAACGGCTGAAGCGCGAGCGTGCCGAGCAAGAGCGATACCAGCAATATCAAACCCAAACGCAAGGTGGCCGCTATGCAGCAATGATGTTTGGTACGTCATCTCGCAGCCTACCTATTCACCGTGCATCAGGGCAGAGCTTGATTCCCTCTACGTACTATACACATATATAGTTATCTAATACATGATTCAGCGTTGGTCTTCTTCTCCAGCGGGGCTTATTACTTGGGTTCCATGAAACCTGCTTCCCTTCCGGCCTCATCCACGACCTCGGTCTATGAGCTAGACCCACCAAAGCACAACGTCTCCCCGTCGAATCTCCAGGCCGCCTGGGTGGACTTTGTGGAAATCCTAGGAAAGGAGAATGTTTCGACAAATAATATGGATCTGGAAGCACATTCCGGATCAGACTGGTCCTCCTACAGCCGGAAGGAAGACGAAATCCCGTTTCTGATCCTTTATCCCTCGAGTACGGAAGAAGTATCCAAAATCATGAAAGTGTGTCACAGTCGCGTGATTCCGGTGACCCCTTACTCGGGTGGTACCAGTCTAGAGGGCCATTTTGCGGCTACCCGGGGTGGCGTGTGCGTTGATTTCCGCCGAATGGACCAGATCTTGGAACTTCACAAGGGAGACCTTGATGTTGTTGTGCAGCCAGCTCTCGGCTGGGAAGAACTCAACGAACGGCTGTCTGAGGACGGCCTGTTCTTCCCCCCAGATCCAGGCCCTGGTGCCATGATCGGTGGTATGGTTGGAACTGGCTGTTCGGGAACCAACGCCTATCGCTACGGAACAATGCGGGAATGGGTCCTCTCTCTCACGGTTGTCCTTGCGGACGGAACCGTCATCAAGACGAGGCAGCGACCTCGCAAGTCAAGCGCTGGTTATGACCTGACTAGGCTCTTCATCGGAAGCGAAGGAACTCTCGGTCTGGTCACTGAGGCGACATTGAAATTGACTGTCAAGCCCAAGAGCCAAAATGTTGCTGTTGCAAGCTTCCCCACGATCCAGAATGCGGCAGAATGCGTAACACGTGTCGTTGAACAGGGCATCCCTGTGGCCGGTGTCGAGATCCTCGACGATGTGCAAATGAAATGCATCAACGACAGCCAGACGACGAGCCGACGATGGAAGGAGTCGCCTACCCTCTTCTTCAAGTTCTCCGGAACACCAGTTGGGGTTAAGGAACAAATAAGCATGGTCCAAAGCATCGTTTCTTCTACATCCGGCCGCTCGTTTGAATTCGCTCGCGGGAGCGAGGAGATGCAAGAGCTTTGGAGCGCTCGGAAAGAGGCTCTTTGGAGCGTCATGGCTATGAGACGGGGCCCTGAGGATCACGTCTGGACTACGGACGTGGCGGTCCCGATGACCAAATTGCCTGAGATCATCGAGGCAACCAAGAAAGACATGACACAAAGCGGTTTATTAGCAGGTATCTGTGGCCATGTCGGCGATGGCAATTTCCACGGTAAGAATGCCCAACCTTCCTAAAAAAAAAAAAAAAAAAAGAGAGAGAGAAAAGAAGTTTTGCAGTTACTGACCTTGGCACTCCGTGCAAACAGCGATCATTCTGTTCAATGACCAGGAAAGAAAAACCGCCGAAGCCGTGATCCACCGGATGGTGAAACGTGCCGTGGAACTGGAGGGCACGGTAACAGGCGAACACGGAGTCGGTCTCATCAAACGTGATTACCTTCAACATGAACTTGGAGAGTCAACAGTAGATGCGATGCGCCGAGTAAGTTCTATATCTTTCCCATGCTACGTCTACGCAACTGGACCGCTAATCATCATAATCAGCTCAAATTGGCTTTGGATCCGCTTTGCTTGCTCAATTCCGACAAGGTGGTTCGAGTCCAGCGGCCTAACCCCGGGGAGCTTAAGGAGTGGTGATTTCTCAAATGTAAGAGACGTTCAGTGTGGTGTCTCATACCAAGTGGTTTGAAGTTCGAAGAGTGAACTCGGACAAGGCACATATAAAACATTGAGATACCGGCATCTGGCCAACGACAACCATCAACAAAGATTTATCACGGCCCTCTCCAAATGTACATCTATTGCAGCCCAAGATATCTTGTCCATTGGATTGTTCAGCTATGTAGTATATAAACGCATGACGTGATCATATTGTGTCCTGCAGTAAGAAGCGCTATGTATGACCAGTACTCGTAAATCCTGGACCCGGATTAGTAACGTCTCTCATAGCCATATTGGCCCTCGCTGAACTCGTTTCGGTTATAACGCTCCCCTTCGTAGTCTCCCCTTGAGCCGTACTCGCCTCCGCGAGAGCTGTACTCTTCCCCGCGAGAGCCGTACTCCTCTCCCCGGGAGCTGTATTCCCCTTCCCGGGAGCTGTACTCATCTCCGCCATATCTTTCACGGCTTTCATTCTGGTATCCATCGTAACGGGGCACATCGTCACTGCTTCGTGTCAGTTGCAAATGAATTGTGGTCAGAACGCGGTCTAGGTCTGCTTACCGTTGCGGGCGACCACTATTCTCGTAACTACCATACTCGTAATTCTGTTCCCCATACCCGCCACTATACTGGTTTCCCTGCGCATACCCTTCGCCGCTTTCTCTTTCGGGACGAGAGTCGGAGTCACCCCGTAGCATATTACCAACGCCACTCACGAGACCCTCAACTAGGCCACCGATTGCGCCGCCGCCGGCGGCGTCTCCTACGGCCTGTCCAAATGCGCTGGTGCTTGGGTCGGAGGTCTCGCCCGAGCTGCTTCTGCCCTCCTTGTGCAGCGTAAGTGGCTTGCCGCAACCATGACCGCAGTCATTGACACCTTCTTTATGGTTGAGTCCTTCGCGGATACCATCGCGGGACAGTTGCCCCCGAAGGACATCCTGTTCATCCCCGGATTTTTGTTCCCACCACTCTTGGACAGTGCCAAACATGATTCGGCGCATGTCAACTGCACCATCTTCGCCATAGTCGCGAAGGACCGGGTGGTGGAACACGCCCGAAATGATCCGGTCCAGGGTCCTCTCCGGATCAACATCTTCATTGTCCCAGCACTCCATGATCTGCGGCACAGTCCATTTGATGGTTTGGGACGCGATCTTCCCTGCTGGTTCATTGAGGATGTTTGAGAAATGGTCCTTCGAGAGCATCGAGTGGGTGGGGTTCGAGCAGTCATCATCATCGAACACAATGTGCTGCTGCGTTCTACTGCTCTGGATGACTTCAGAGGAGCCAGTCTGCAGCTCGGCCTTGACCTGTCCGATAATGGGGCCAACGTAGGGTGCTAGAATGGAGAAGACAAAGACAGTGATCTGCTCCTGAATCTGCTCCACCAGCTCCGGCAACACGGGAATCCTTTCTATAGCCTTGTTGATCGACTTGATCAGATCGTCGTGCCATTCAAGGATCGGATACATCTGCTGGTGCACGTCGTCTAGATAACGGGTCCACTCTTCGGGTTCGCGCGGTGAAACGTTTGCTGAGTTTTCCTTGGCCGATTGCGACTGCGCTTTGAACTCGTTCATCTTGTCCTTCTGGTTATCGCTGTCACCGATCAAGCCCTCTGGGATTTTGTCCAGCAGGTTCTGAATGAAACTTTCGGAGGGGGGGCCATCTTGGGACTCTGTAATCACGTTTTCCAAGGACTGCACTTCGGACTGGGTAGCCTTGTCAGAAATCTCACCAAGCACAGAGTGGAAAAAGTCCACTCCGCCAAAGGTGCCGGTAACAATTGGATAGACGGAATCCTGGGCGCCCTCGATCTCCACCTTGGCGTTGCGGCCCACATGGGGGAAGACATCTGATTCTCCGAGTTCGATCAGGCTTAGCTCTGTATAATTGGAATGCGCAGCATAGTCTTCGAGACAATGCAGCCCCGTTCCGAGCAATCGGAGAGCTTCATGCAAATCCTCATCATTCTCCGAGCTGGCGTACCGACGGCCAAATTGGATGCAACGAAGCAAAACCCGTCGGACTAACCCTGCCGATGTCGCAATTCCAAGGTCCTCTGAGGCAATGTAGTTCTTGAGGCCTATTGAGGTCAAGCAAGGAATCTCAGCCACGAACGTCGGCAGAATGGTCATGTTGGGTTCAAGACAACTCACCAGTGCGAGGGTCGACTGAAAGTTCACGTTCCTCGTCGACGGGCCCTCTCAGTCGATCGTCGTAGTTCCGAGCATCGTCGCCTTCGGCGTAGCCCATCGGGTTATCGATATGCTCTGTGGGCTCATAGCAACGCAGGCGCTCTGTTGTGACCTCGAACTCCTTCGTGCCATAACTAGGGTGGGATTGACATCAGTGATATACTCCTACAAGAATGATCTAGGCAGCTTACCCAAAGCTCAGAAAGCCCAGCACCCAGATCAGGATGCGGATAGCCTCGGTGCTGACGTATTTCAAGGTACCGACATCGACAGCCTGGCTATAGTCTCGCAGCCAATTTCCGAAATATACGCGCTGCACATCAAGCTTGCTGAATTTGCGACCACCCGCAATACGAGCCAAGGTCAATGTCAACAGGGTATCTTCAATGTCACCATGGCGCCAGTTCTGGCCTTCAATGCGAGCAATCGATGCAATGTTGCCCGCGCCAAATGCGTGGACTTTGCTGGAGAAGGCAATGAGGGCAAAGAGCACAACGACGGCTTTGAATGAAAGGGCCATGGTTCTCGCTGCCTCGCCGTGTAAATCCAGAGATGATTTAACCTTTTGATTCCTGGTTTCTTGGGGCCTGCGTTCGGTGCAGCGTCAGATCCTATCATGCATACAGGACCAGGGACTATTTGAAAAGTCAATAGGGCCGAAGCAAGGTGTGGGAAGGGAAAAGAGGGGATTCGAATATACCCCGCTACCATCTGCACGTACCCTCTCCGATAGTGCCCTTCGTGTAGCAAATAGATAGGTGCGGTTGGCTCAGCTGGACTGGATTGTGGGGTCTGTTTCTGTCTTCATGGCTCCGATTGAGGAATATGGAATAATACACTGGGCAGAGTATTCCATACGTATGCTGTGTTGTATTGCGTATTCTGTCCCCCCTCCTGCAACCACTAGGTGTCATGGCTCAATCTAGGCAAGAGCTAGCTTGTCGCCCTTAGATTCCTACTCCAGCGCTGGGTACCTACCTCACTCTCTGTTGTTGTGATGATCCCGATAGATGATAGGCGGCGGTGAGGGCATAACTCCAGGCTAGTAACGTAATATTGTTTTGATCTACACTGTGGGATGCTCTACGTGAGGTCTGAGGTTTCTAGAATATTCAGGAATTCATGAAGAGAGGACCCCATTGATCAAGTGAAAACAGGATCATCTGCCAATATTTGATCAACATGCTTTGCTTAGAGACCAGGTTGGCGAAGGGGGGGGGGGAGGGGCAATTTACATGAGGGTTGTATAAGATCAACCTCAATAGCATTGCTCAATACGGCATCACAGCATACAATGTGCATAACATATCATGGCATACATATGTACAAATAATCACTAACTCAACCCCTGAGCAGCACCACTCGGGGACCCTAACAAATTTTTAAATTTTTTTTTTTTAGTTCATTACCTCCCCATAAGACCGCTGTCACCAGTCTGCTGTCAAATTCATATACTGTTTCTTGCGGATTTTTTTAAATAACTACCGAGTAACTAATCCACATCGTGACTAGCAGGTTCCATCTATGGCTGAACATGGACATGGGCGTGGGCGAGGTGAAAGTGGTAGGATTATCTAGGGCTAGCGGCCCCGCATCCGTCCACCGAGTCAGCAACCAATTCGTCCATTCGAGTCCCGTGGCTCTCCGCTCCCTCAGGTTACTTTCATTAAATCACTACTCCGTACACCGCTGCTGCGCCTTGCCCGCCGTCCGCCGCCTCCGATTCATCTTTGCTCCACCCCCCTTCCTTCCCCCCGGCTGATCCCTCAGCAGGAAGCGAATCGGTTCCTCGTTCGTTCTGTATAGATGTCGTATTGTTCTCCGTTCTTGGGGTTATCTTCTCTACTCTGAACTCTTCTCAGAAGATGCCTGCCTATAAGAACAACTGCCATTCTCTCACGTACACTCCATATTGCCGACACTAAATTTGATTACAAGTCCAACAATTGAACAATACCCCACGGAGATAACATCACCCTCGTGGCTGCAGTCGGTGTTGTCAAAGCCAACCTCACATGAAGACTCACACTTGGTGGGCGTGATTCAAGACAGTACGCTTGTTCGCGAGAACACCTGGGAATCCATAATCCAACAGTCAAACCGAGGCCGTCGCAACGATGTCTACTATCACACTGCAGTAAAACATCTTTGATCTCTCAATAGCCCCGAGGGACGACTAGCGCGGCCGCTGCGATTATCAGCCCATCCCATACACGAGCCGAGAATCGGGTCAATCGGGATCAAATGCAAATTGATCATCCGGATCATACTACTGAGCATACTGCGGGGACCGTCCTATTTCCCAGAGATAATGCTGTCTATGACTGTCTGGAGACCGCTATTGCCGACAGAAATCGACTAAATTCTTCGCCAACGACTTCCAAGTACCAAGCCACCCGATTGGCGAATCTTACTGTTTGGGATATTTTTTAAGCCACCTGAATAAGATTGAGAAACACTCCATCTTCGAAAGAATTTCGACACCTGCCTAGCATAGATCGCTTGGCGGGAAGAAAGTACGAAACTGTTTCGTGCCTGGGGAGGCCCATCCAAACGAGCCCTCAACACGAAATCATAATCGAGAATCTTATTGAGTTGAATAAAGAATTTTCATAATCGATGGCGCCCGCCGTCCCCCCGCCCGAGATGCCGTCTCAGAATCGTTCGCAGTCTTACTCCGCCGATCGGTCCTCTTTATCTCTTGGACGGGACGGCCTCGGAATTTACACAACACCCGCGGAGAGAAACAGAAACAATCCTTTGCCCCACGGAGCAATCGAGAAGTCCTCCCCCGGGTTTCATCATAGGTCGACAAGTGGGACCTCGCAGATTTCCGCTGCAAGTCATGCAAGTGCTAACACACCGGCCTCGCGATACGCGCAACCGATTGGCCAGTCTCCCGTCACCTCGTCAAACCCAATCCATGGAAGATCTGCATCCGAAAGCGATAATGTCGATAAAAGAAACCGTGGAGGGGAAGCATCATTTCATCCAGGAACCGATGCTCTCAGCCCCTCGACTCGCGCAACTCCTGGGCAGAGGCCGCGTTTGTCGCTGCAGACCTATGATGGTTCATTCACAAAATTACCGGGCACATCTCAAACGAATGTGGCCACTCGCCGATCTTTCGGCTACTCTCGCGAACCTGCAAGTACATTGGATACAGCCTCTCCTGCTTCCCGAACATCGTTAGATTTCGTGTTTCGATCCAAGACGCGGACGAGTACCGATCCGATCTCTCGAGCAGCAACGGTTCAAGCAGCGCGGCAAGCGTTCGAAGAAAAAGAGGCCGCCAAAACACGGAAGCTTGAAGCACAGCAGATCAAAGCAGAAGAAAAACACTTAAGAAGGATGGAAAAGCAATACTGGCGCACACCCTTGAAGGATGATGAAATCGGAGAGCCTACTCCGGAAAAGGAAAATCCCGAACCCCATCACACACTCGAGACCCGGCCTTTGCCATCGCAGCACGAGCCCAATTCAGGGAATTGCAAGAGCCCTCGGGATATGTGGATGCACTTTTTAACATGGCTGCGAACGAAACTTTTCAAGTTACAGCGGAGGATGAAAAGTCTCATATGATACCTATTTGTTCATGTTAAAGCTGCCACGGCCTGATCATGTATCATATCCTGTATTTTGACTTGGTGCACATATTTCACCGTCTCTCTTCTCGTGCTTTCGTTCATATGGCGATGGCCGCAAAGTACTTGGTAGCGGCGATTTCGGCGACGGAGCTGCTAACAGGTGCTGGAATCGATCGGCGGATTTATCAGCCCAGCGAGTGACGTGCTATGTACTTTGCGATGCTGGTATACACATAACACAGTATCAGACGCCATTTGGACTCCCATTAGCCCGATCAAGAGGCAGCAGATCGACTACCCGGGGGGTTAACTGAATTCCAGGGCATCTTGTGAACCTTCATGTGCTAAGGGCAGTAACTATGTGGTCTATACTCGAATGCCGATACAAACTCTCTATTGGCACACTGCTGTACAAGTTAGGAATTCAAGTTTACATAAGCTCGTTCCTGGTCGATTGATACACATGAAGTTGATTTTGAGTCTATCTCAAGCGTTCGTAAACAGGCCACACCAACCATTGGCGGGTCGAGCTTTCCTATGGCGCCAAGTAGTGTGATCTCAATCGCTTGAAATCATTACTCAATTGAGACTGGACTTTGGCTGCCCATTGCCTCCTCAATGCACAACCCACACATAAAGCGAAACAGGTCCCCTAGCCAAAGGTGCCATCTGCTCTGAAATATCGCCTGCCCGGCGCTTGCTATACTTATTGCACCTTCCTCTATGGGGCCACGGGCTTCCGGGAAGTTGGGTGAAACGCGACCAGGCTCTTGTGCCTCTTTGCCGGAGACACTTGCCATGGTCATGTCCCGAAAGCATCAGATGAGAGTGGCCCCACAAATATTGGGGATTCTGAGAGTTACTTCGGCTCAAAGTCAACTGTCTACTGCAGCCTTCGTCACCAGGATCTGCAGGTTGGGGATATCTGAATAGGAGTATTAGTCACGGTGTTCGTCGAGGAAGTTTGCTCGGATGACTGCGTTTGGTCAGAAATGCTTGACGAATTGGAAGACCATGTTGGATGCGGGTCTTCATTCCTGTTTTGGCCCAATATAAAGATGTTCTGGATGGGCGCTTCTTCAGATGATGCGGTAGCAATGTCCTCAAAGATAGTTGTCGGTGTCTCGGGGTTCTGAACGAATTGATCGTCTTGTTTATCACTAGAATCAAACTCGTCTGGCTCGGTGTGTGGGATAACGCTTGTGAATATCGCCTGGCTCGGCCGAGGTGTGCCACGGTCGGGGCTGCGTAAACTGCGTTGCGTCCATCCTTGTCTGAAAATATCGCAAAGTTCCCAACAAGCCTGGACGGCGGCACCAACCAAATCCTCATCTAGCCGTCTCCTCTCTTTGAAAATTTGCCGCATATTGAATAAGATTTCCGCCAATGACCAGCAGGCACTCAAGAGGGATTCTGTTCTGGATAGTCGCATTCTTTGCTTCATGAGGCGATGACATAGCGTTATGTAGAACTCCAATGTCCTTTCCCTAAAAGCATCGGGCAAGTTTCGGTCACGGGTATTGTACAGATGATTATTGAGCTCAAAGCTTACGCGTAGCACCGAGTCGACAAGCTCATCGTCTCGTGCCCTGGCTTCAAATAATGTCTGGCAGAAGTCGCGACAAGTATCAAGTGTTGGATCGATCTGGGATGGGAAATCACCCCCCTGATAGGCATATAGTTCCTGACAAAGCCGCCAGCAGGATTTCCACGGTTCCGATATACTGCTGCTGTGTTCTGTACTTCTTTGGTGGATATGGCTTAGGCTGGCTAGTGTATTACATAGTGACCAGCATTCAGAGAGTGCCGATTCCAAGGCATGGATCTCGGCTTCTCCATCGTTCAGATGCACATTCTTAAATCTAACCACACCAGATGAATCGTCGAGTTTCTGGTGGGTTCTCTCGATGTCGGAGCCCTCGGGAACACCTGATGAACGGTATAAGTAATACACCCCACAATATCACTTTCACCCCCACAAATTTAACCACAAAGATATCAGGTTTTGAGGTATGCCTTACCATCAAGGTTTCTCAGGCGCGATGTTAGATCATTGTCTTCAAAATCATGCTTCGTCTGGGCGCGGGGAGTTGCATGCTGAGACCAATCGCTTGCAGGTTCAACGGCGGTTCTTAATGGTAAGCTCGGAGTTCCCTATGCCTTGTAAGCCAACGGTGGGTGTGTTTAGGGTGATATTGCTATGCCATTCCGGTTACCTCTCTGTCCTGCTGTCTGCTTTGCCTTTCACTGGTGGAAGGATTCACAGGCATGGCGATAATCGGGTGTATGCTACCTGGATTTGAGGCAAATCGATTGTCTGAATGTTGCTGGGCATGTACTGTCTGAGGTACACTAGCTTTAGAAAAACATATGTCAAATGAGCGAGGAATACTCACTAGACCACTGGGTCCACGCCATACGGGTATCCCAGACTGTGAAGACCCCTCGTCGTCATCGACCTGATCCCTGACTCCATGCAAGTTGGCTCTTGGTGTCTGTCTCTGATGAAACACAAGTCAATGAAAATCCATTGGAAAATTATTTGAGTTTGCCCGAATTGACATTTATTTAATTGTATCTTGCACCCACCATAATATCAAGTTGTGCATCACTTGAAGGGCGCATGTAATGGACTGCAGCCTCGGAAGCGTTCCTCATGGGGGTATCACGCTTGTTGAGATCAAGTTCGTCGATCTCACTAGATTTGGCCCTCCCACTTCGTGAAAACATCAAGGGCGATCCAGGATTAGTCGACAATCTAGAATTTGGAGAACCGATAGACCTGCGCTTCTTAGCATGTTCATATATCAGCTACAGATACAGCGTGAGCTCTTACATGTTGCGGAAGCTGTGAAGTGAACTACCGTGACAAGTGCCCGGAGTTCAACCGCTGAAAATAGAAACGATATTATCAGAAGTTATGTATTTCTACCATCATGTTCCAGTAAACTCTGCCGTGGGAGTTAAGATCATGCACGCTGGAATATCCTTCGAGGAAGTTTGATGACTAGGAATAGCGATTGCCTAGCTGATATGCAATGTTACTACTTTTCTTTGAGAGACAACCCCCCCTTCTTCCCCGCCTCAGAGCTTAGGTACTTTATAACAAGTAGCACAAGCTAGATCACTCAGCTTGGGGTGGCCTTTCAAACACCATATCTATGCTGTTGACCATCCTACCTGATGTATTAAATCTTTGCACAGTGTCGCATTGTCATCATCCAGGCATATCTAAAATATCATCTGCTTAGAATCATATTTTAGGAACTAAACCTCAATTTCAATTTAAAGAAAAAATTATTACAGAAGAATAAGAAGAAGTACAAACCAAAAAATATTCAACATGATATGGCGGTTGTCATGTTGGAGAGTAGTCTCAAAGCAGCCATGAAAATACGAACCATTACTTCTTCATAAACTACTGCAGTACTTCGACGATTACACATGCATACCATTGCTAGAGAGTTGGTGCGATCTTCTGGTACTTTTCAACAGACCACCTGAGGAACCCAAATAGGTATGTATGCAGCTTCGATACACGTTTACCAAAGGCAATAGAAAGATGAAATAGTTTTTTCTTCTGAGGCATACCTCTGATTTTTCCGCCTGCTGTCGCCGTGGGTCATCTTGTCAGAGTTATGTTGGAAATGATGATCTTTAGTAAAATTAATTTCACAATTCTCAGTGAAGCGGACAGGATAGTGTCGTTGACCAGCATGTTTATATCACCAATTGCAAGAAGATATTCGACTAAACGGCTCGAATTTGATTATTGATGCTATTCGTGTGAACCTGGAATGATAGTTCGACGGTAATTCCTTGGCATGGAAAGTGAATTGAGGAATTTTATAGACCCAGACAACTCCTCATCATCAGAAACTCATGCTGCCTCATGAAATCATCGATCTGTCTCCCTTTGCGCCCTTCGCCATAGTCTTTATTCGTGATTTAGATCCTAGCAATAATCAAGACGATCGCAAATGGATTCGACATCATGGGGTTGAAACAAATGACAAACACTCCTGGAGTATCAATCATCTGCGCCGCTGACCAAGCCTTGTAAAATCTGTGAGCAGAAGACTTTCTAGGCAAGAAAACAACTGCGTCGCCCAGAATTCAAATCCAGTCGCACGAACCCTCGAGTCCTAATACAAGGGCAGATGGTATTGATGGGTTGGCCGAGTGAAGGTAGGAGTCAGGCCACAAGAGTATAAATCTTATCTGTATTGGGTGCTTCTCAAATTTGTGCCTTAGCACGGTCTCTTTCCGCGGGATTATATCTATCACGAGTTAGCTGTTATTAATAGCCAGTGACCGAAATCAGTACTGACCGAAGAAGTTTTTCGATTAAATCAACATGGGTCATTATCATTCGACGGCAGCAGTACCGCTTGCAGCCCAGCTGGTCCATGGCATCACTATATGGCATCGGTCAGAGATTGCGTGAAGAAGAGAGACTGACAGTCTTACCCATCTGCGATCCCCTCATCAAGAAGTTGTAGGTAGCGTTCCCATAAATCTCCTACCACCTATCCAGCCATGTGTCAGTAAGACTGTAGGATAAGGAACTAATCAATTGTACACACCTTTCCACAAGAAAAACATCGCACGGGAATAATCATTTGGCTATATTTCTTTATCTGTTAACTCCAGATAACAGATGACTGTTTTGAATGAATCCCTGGATATAGGAGGTTTGCCCAAAGAAAATGGAAACAGTGAAATTCCTTTTAAACGATCACAAAGATTCTTATGAGTAGATAATGTACAATCCTAACGAGCAAGAATTGATGATACAGAGTATCACGGCGCAGATTTTCAGAGGACTCAGAAGGGTCCACTTATCACTCCGGGAGTCTAAAGATGTAGGCTCAATGATACACTAACCATATACGTACTAGCGCGGGTCCAATATCCGAGAAGTGAATATCATTGGGTGAGATAGAAAGCTCAGAAAAAAAAAAAAAAAAAGAGGGAAAGATTGAGAACTCACTGACTGATATACAATTTGAGCACTGGGTGTCCAGCATTTTGGTATTACCTTTTTGATCACACCCAAAATATCCAGAGATAAATTAGTCTTTCCTGTTATCAGAATAGACTTTTTTTCTCCTGGTATATCAAAGGTATCTGTTCCAACACTGATAATGCTGGAATATTCGAATCGACATGCGAAAAGGCCGCGGGTTAGTGACACAGCTACTCCTAACAAGGCAACACGAATTGGTCGGAAACAAGTGAAGTCAAGATGTAATACTCAAGATGCAGAAGACATGAAGTCACTTGTCGCATTGAAAAAGCTTCCTACCTCTCGCCATATATCAACTATCAAGTCCTCCCATGACGCCGATCAACAAAATTCTTCAGAGGCTAAATCTTGGACTTTGTCAGAACCTCTTGCTGGAAGATATAATAACCTAGACCCTATGTTTACCGCGGATGAAAAGTCAGTGTTTGGATTCCTTATCTTTGCGCACATCTGTCGATCTGTACTAAACCCTCTCAGTTATCTTTTTCTAGGACTCGACACAGCCATTCATCTGTATTCTATCTCGACTGCTCGTGTCGTGCGCTCGTTTCAGTCAGCGCCAGGTCAAACAATAATTGGATGTCGAGTTTCGCCTGGAAAAGGAGATTACCTTTACATCTTCACGTCAACTGGTGCTGTGGATAAATGGGACTGGCAGTCTGGGCGACAAGTATCCCATTGGGAAACCAATCGCAAAACCCTTTCCATCGAGGTATTCTTTGATCAGAATGAGGATGATGCACAGTTTCAACTGCTTTGTCTCTGTGAGCGCAACGATTTGAAGAGAGCGATAACAGCTGTGGATCTTCGTGATGGAAAATCCCAGGAAAAGCTAATCTTTGAAACGAGCATTCGAATCTCTCACATCAGGTGTGCAGGACAAAGTCGGGCTATCATCGCGTATCATGACAATCATCTTTTACTCGGTACTATGGACCGTGATGATGCGAGTCCTACTACTTCGCAGTACACCTGGAGGGAGTTGACATTGCCCGTTAAAATTACTTCGATGGATATTCGTTCCAAAGTGTCACCATCGCAACCCAGGACGGGAACCTCAAATAGGAGCAGGCATTGGGAGACCCTTGATCTTGCTTTGGGAGAAGCAAATGGTTCCATATTGGTTTACCATGATGTTTTGAACTCCCTCAACAAGGACGGTGCATTGGAGGCAGGAAAGGGCATGGCGCCAAGAAAACTACATTGGCATAGAGAGGCTGTTTGCGCAACTCGTTGGTCCAAAGATGGTACGAATTCGCCTCAGGCACAGAAGAAGCATTAGAAGGGAATTGCTAATCGGACGACAGGTAACTACATACTCTCAGGAGGACACGAGTCTGTCATGGTTTTATGGCAACTGGATTCGGGAAGAAAGCAATTTTTACCCCATCTTTCTTCCTCCATTTGCAACATTGTGGTTTCTCCGAATGGGAACTCGTATATTGTCAAGTTGGCTGACAATAGTATCGTGTTGCTGTCCGCAAGAGAGTTGCAACCTTTCATCACCATCACTGGCCTACAAATCATCCCCAGGGTCAATAAGCCTAGGCACCAAATAGTCTCGGCGCGTTCTCCTTCCATCATCCCAGCTGTTGCTGTGTTGGACCCCCAGAGACCGGATCAACTTCTCACTGCCGTGCCGGCTTCCCACCGAGCCACTCAAGCCGCCGACCATTCGTCAAACTCTGTTCTGCAAACCTATGACCTTCGCACGAGCAGTCATATATCCCGCCAAGCTCTCGCACGTACCAATGCAACAACTTTGAATGTAAGCCCAGAGGGCTCATACATAGCGGCGTCCGATATCAAGCACCTGCAGCTATCTCATGACGGAATATGGATGGCCACGGTTGACACATGGAATCCTTATCCCCAAGATCTCGAATCTTTTGGATTCGTCAGTCCCGGTACAGGCAGCACATGCCCGCTCTCCGAAGTTTTCTTGAAATTTTGGAAGCGAGGCAGCTCGTCCGGGACGTGGGAACTAGTAACCAGGGTTGATACTCCTCACTTCTCCGTTGAAGGCGCAGCGTCCGTTTTGGATTTAGCCCCCCGGCCCCGAAGTCATGAATTTGCGACTATTGGGTCCGATGCTGTGTTACGCCTCTGGTTCCCTGGTATCAGGCAGCGCAGTGGACTGAAGCAAACTGACAATGTGGGACAACCATCAGAATTCTGGAAATGTCGAAATGTTATCGATTTGAAAAATTACCTCAAAAGCGACGGGTCTGATTGCTTGACTGCAGCTTCTTTGGGCTTTTCACAGGATGGCTCGGTTCTTGCTATTTGCTTGCACTCAGGTCATTCTGCAAATCCAGGTCTCACCGTCCTCATTGATGTACAAAATTGTGTCGTGCGACATAGCAAAACAAGTGTGTACTCAGGTACACCTTGCGCGGTTGCGTTCTTTGAAAGCCGCCTCCTCGTTGCCTCGAGCCATTCAGTCTCGGTTTGGGATACTGTCAATGACCGTGTAAAGACCATTGATCTACATGGTAATACTGCTATTGGTGGGTCACAGCTTTTAGCTGCGAATTTCAATACAGGCACTTTTGCTGTTGCGCCACAGACTTTGCCGGCTTCTTCGACCTCTAAGAAGGCCCACAAAGCACAATATTATGCCAAAATCTTCGATGCCTACTCATTACGCCTCATTGCACAAATGGCACTGCCAAGTTGCCCGCTGGCACTTCTTTCGGCCCAACATTCAAGCGACTATGTTATCATAGATTCAGCATCTCATGTCTCGCGTTTGGCTTGTGATGGTACAACAATTCAAGCTACCGGGACTCGAGACCTGGACATCCATCTCAATTCGGGGCTCGCAAGTTTGTTCGGTCCGGGTCGCGATCGCACCTCACGCTCAGTTGCTACTACGTCGACGGATCACGCCTTAACAAACACTCAAGGGCTGGCTACTGTTTTCGGTGATGTGCCCTCTTTCGTTCAACCTCCCGCGAATATCCTTTTCCAGGACGTTGTACAAGCCCTTGCTAGCTAAATTGGTCGGTCGACCTTTTATTTCGAAATTATCAATCAAGTTCGGCCTTTTTGCATGTACAGCATATGTGCTTGATAGACACTCTTATATGGAAGTGTGCCATCGCCTCACATTATTTTAGAGGTTTTTCTTCTATGAAGATTGGCAGGAAATCATATACTTGCGGAGTGAAGTGGAGGGTATCCTGTCGCCTCGCAATATTACCCAATGGCCTATTACTGCTTAATGTAATGCAGTAGTACAGCAGAATGTGTTTAAGTCTCTTCATAAAACAAATCGTAAAAGCACTGTCTATTATTACTCCACAAGTGGTCCCGCAATTGATCTTGTACTTTTTGACTAACAATTGAATTGCTCCACATAACACTGTTCTTGACTGCCTGCACATAAATCGGCCGCGCGGGTATTCGGATATTCGTTAAAGAGGGTTCAAGCTTCAGTCATGGCCAATAGCTAACTTTCAGGCTATATGAAATATCAAACGGTCACTATCCTCCAGCCCACAAAACACCTATAGAACGATTCAAACCATAATAATAAAGCAGCTAGCCGTTACAGAAGGAAGCGATTAACGATGCGCATTTTTACTTGGGTCACTTACCCCTATACGGTCCTATTCTAGTGGTGAAAAGAAGCGTGGATACTGAACGAAAAATGTATTTAAATGGGTATGGCAACGAAAGCATCACATCAGCAAATTTTCATGGGTTTTCGGAATTATCCTGGCGGATGGACATGGCGAATGAAGGATTGTTAGCAGCTTGGAGTAGCGATGGATCTATCTGTATTTCACCAAAATCACTAGAAGCTGCAGAAGCACTGGCGAGCGCCTGTGAAGCAAGGGTGCTAATTCCATTGGAATACGTGCCACCAATTTGAGAGCTCGACGTTTCAGGGCTCTGTATCTGAATATGAGAAGCAGAATTTTTGCGGGATGCATCCCTTTTAGTCTGATCATCGCGAAGTCGCTTCATAACATCCCGACAAAGCACCTCAATTGCCTTCATTTTGGTAGGGTAATCAGAGGCCTCCGCGCCTGGTGCAAGGATTCGCTGAAGAAGTTCGGAGTTCATGACCCACTGCTCCTTCAAATCATTCCAATGCTCATCGCCGGCCTCCAGCTTGCTCGTAAAATGGTCAGCCTTTAGAGTATGGTAGAATGCGTTCCGTATCTGGCGACTTTCTTCCGGATTGATTCCAAGTGCATTCTTAGCCTCAGCAATTGTCATTCGTCTTTCCAATGTCCTCATCCGCTTGGTAACGTCAGTGCAAACAACATCAAGGGCAAGTGCCTTCGCGTCAAGTTGGGTGGCGTCATCCCAAAAGACATGTTGGAGATGGCGAGATTCTTGAATCAGCTTTTTTTTGGCTTCTTGCCATCGCTCTGGTCCAGCAACTGTTTTCTTGATAAAACCAGCATCTTCACAGATTCTTTGGAACTGGTCTCTGATGTGACGGTACATGGTGTTGTCCAAATTGAGGTAACTTTTACTCTCGTCGATCGTGGTCTCAGACGGGAAACGAGGTGGGCCAGGAGGGTCGGCCGGCAACCCTGCCCATCCACGAGTGCGGCGACGACGTTTCCGAGTAGCCCAACGTTCAGCACTCTCGGTCTTGAGTCGGTCGAGTCTTTCTTTACGCCTCAACAATGTATCCGGGGATAGGTCGGGAGGAGATAATTGCGATAAACCTGGGTCAGTAGGGGGGTGTTCGTTGTCATCGAATGGTGTTGAGCTTGTGAATACTTCCTGTTGCAAAGCAAGGAAACTATCATCATCTGGCATCTGACCTGGAACCTGCGAATTTGACTGTGTTTTCATTCCATTGGGAACCCGAAGCAACCAGCGGTTTTTTGCACGGACACGCATAAGCTCCCTTTCTTTGATTTGAAATCCTTCTTGGTTTAATATCTGAAGCATTTCACGTTGGCTAGTGTTTTTCTCCCACAACTCTTTCACTCGGGAAACAAGTTTTCTATTCTTGTGTGCTGGATTCTGCTTTGAAGGAAATCCCCACCGCTTAAACTGTGTTTGGAACGCACGTTTACTGCAAGATGGTTTACGCTGTTAACATTGGGACATATATTTGAGGTTATACTACAGAAGGAGTTGGCGGAGACTGATATATGGGCAAAAGGGCTCACCTCGGTGCGAACTGATGTACATTCTTCATGTATTCCATGATTTCCTCCAGGGCCTTCTTATCTGTGATGTACATCTGATAACATATCTCCCGCTTTCCATCCCAATCGTAAACCATAGTGTATCAGGCAGGGCACTTCGCACCCCCTGGCGGAGGTGCGACCTTTCGGAGTGCGATCTGATAGGTTGATGAACCTGCAAGAGCTGCTAAAAAAAAGACAAGAGTTCTGGATTGAATAAAGCGCCCGATGTCGCTACTGCACACCGTAGTGAGCTAGAATCGGATTATCTGGACCCGTAAGTGTGGGAAGCGCTAGGAAGGAAGACTTTGGCGGAGTAGAAAGAACAATCATGCACTTTTCAACACTTACAGCTTGGCATGTATGTTCCGAGAAGCTCAGGACGGTTGATTCACGCTTGGCACCGGATAAAAAGAGGGTCAGGAACATCTCTTTTCGACCAGTTTTTCTTCTTGAAATTGCTCGCCCAAATCAAGTCTGATCAGGCTTGGAATTTGATCAAGTTACTTACTACTTCCAGTACTTTTTATATTATTTATTTAAATATTTATATTTATATTAGAGTCTTATGATACAGGTATATATATAAATTAAAAAATATCTTATAATTATATTTACTAGCTTAATTATTAAATCTATTTAAAGAGATTAAGATCTTCTTTACTTTCTCTTAATATAAATTTCTTAATAGCTTGATTATCTTTTAATTTATATAATATCTTATCTACTAAAATTTCTTTTATAAATTTTTAATTTTAATTACTTTTATATGTTATTAAACTTATTATATCTATTATTTAAATTACTTTATTATTAGTATATAGTTAGATCTAGTAAATATAATAATTATTTTTTTAATATAATTATATTAATTATAGTAATCAGGGTCTTTACTAAGTCTTTTATCTTTATATTAATATTTATAATAGCTCTTACTAGAGACAGGATTATATTTAATATTTTTTAATGATTTTTTTAATTTATAATTATCTAGTAGGACTAGATAATTTTATAGAATAATTATAAGTTATAGATTAAGCTTAATTATAATAAGAATATAATCTATCTTATAATATTATTAGTTTTATTATAAGATATAGTTTACTAGCTAGTCTACTAGCTAGAAAGTAATTTATATTAAATTAATTATAATTTATATATTAATTTTCTTATAAATAATTATATTAATAAGAAGCAGGAGCTCTAGCTTATAATTTATTATAATATTAATAATTTTATTAATTTTAAGATTATTCTTATTATATTCTTATAAATTTTATATAAGATAATATAAATTAAAGTCTTTAATTATTAGATATCTCTTATAAGAATTTCTAGCTAGAACCTAATATAAATTTTATAAAATTTAATTATACTTCTAGTAAAATACTACTCTAGAATTATATATATTATATATATAGATTATATCTATATATAGGTATAGAGTTAATATACTTAAATAATATATATAATATTAGATTATTGTCACGGCCAGGAATAAAGATCAACAGTTCAGCTCAGTAGAAGCAGATAAGAATTAACTTACAGATAGATATATAGCTAATATCTAACTAAAGAGATCCTGCTATATAAAATAGCCAGGAGAATCACTATTTAAAAGAAATAAGTAATTTATTTTAAATATTAATATACTTACCTCTCTACTTATATTTATTTTATCTTATAAAGATATTTATTAATAAATAAGAGATTAGCTGCTTAAATAATATTTATTCTAATTCTTATATTAATTAGTATATTACTATTTATAATTTAAATTATTTCTTATTATTTTTTATAAGATATCTTAATAAATAATCTATCTACAGGTTAAAAAGAAAATAAAAACTAGTAACTATTAAGTTATAAAAAAACTTTTTAATAAATTCTCTTTATCTAGTTTTATATCTAACTAAAAAAAAGATAAA